ATAACTTCATCTACAGAAGCAAAAATTTTTCTGGAACTAGAGCAAGCAATAATTCATCATGAAAGTTTTTTTCTAAATGGGACTAAGGAGAAAGATCATAAGCTTTTATTTCAGGTTAAAAAAAAAAGCATTTACTTCTAGTTTTGACAGTAAGTATGTAATCATGGTTGAGTTACTTAATTCTTACCATCAGTTTCATCTGTAAAAGTGGGGACAATGATACGTATCTCCGTGGACTTGTAGTAAAGACTAAATTATGTAATATATTGGGTCGTCGGGAAAGTCATGACGTATTTTTCTACGTTTTTCAATGCAAAAATGCGTCATGACTTTCCCGATGACCCAATGAATAGAAGTACTTAGTAGGCTGCCTTACATAGTTTCACAATACAAAAAGAGATGACACCAGATCTTGTTTTGGTCTTCTATAAAGGCAGAGGCCATGACATTAAAATGTGTCTTAATGGAAGGAATTTAGTGAGGAGAGAGATTCTGCCTCCTCCGCTCACTCTGCTTTATGAAGGTTTTGCTGAGTACAGGGAGAGAATTTGGAAAATTTAAAATGGAGAGATGTAAACATGAGATTGCAATTCAATTCACGATCACAGCTTTGGTATTTGGTATTTGTACAGATCTTTTAACCTAATATATTTACCCATCCCAGCTGAGCTTTGTAGTCTGAAAAGGGAACCTAAAAATGATACTTTTCTCCATTCCCACCCTCTTTTCACATTTTTATATTTTTATTGTCTTTTTTTTTCTTTTGTTTTTTATTCTTTTGTTTGTTTGTTTTATTGATATTTTTATTATTAATATATTTTCTCTAATGAAAAGTTGAGAAACAAAATCACCTGATACACCATTCATAATTCCAAATACACACAACCATTTTTTGAATATATAAATGCTAAGAATTTATAGAATAGGAAGCCAATAAGAATTTTATCATTGCTAGGAATGTTTGTATCACAACTGAACTCCTAACATGAGAGGAGATACTTCTAAACTAATAATTCTTAGCTAACACTAATAAAGAAAAAAAACAACCTGTGTGGCCATGATCCAAATATCCTAGAATTGCCAACCTAGAACTATCCCACCTGTTTCCTTTCTTCATTTACTACAGCCTTGATAACTATGTAAATGAGTTGGTGATCTCATTTCATAGTACATGACCATATACACATCTTATCAGGACTAAGTGACACTGCTTAAAAAGTTAGAGCTGTCTAGTGCAAAAAACAAAAGGAAAAACTTTAAAATTTTCATACGGTTTCTTTATGAATCACTAATTTAAACTGTGAAAATTTAGCAGATTCAAACAATGAGTCATATTAGGTCCTTTTCCCAGGGTCCTGACTGGGGAAAGGCAAGCTCTCAGGTGCCCGCCGCCCTGATGGTGCACACCTGTGAGGACGGACACCTACATTTTGTGCCCCAGGTGCCTTGCTTGCCTCACTTTAGTCTCAGCCCCAATTTTCACTTTCAAAAAAATTATATTTGCCAGAGTCATTCTTATTTAACTCTATCTACCTACTGGCTATTCTGAGCACTTGACCCCAAGAGCTATAAAATGAGTAAATCAATCCTGCAGACTGTTTCATCAAGTACACACGTTCAAGCGCATGCTCCAGCCCTTCCCTGAGTCACTGGCTGCTCTGTTTCCATAAAGGAAGTTTGCACTTGCTTTTGCATCTGCACACACTATGCAAGTTGGTATTAAATTGTTTCTTAGAAAAGATTAAAAACCTGTATCAGACTTTTTGTTTTTTTAAACTTTGCTTTGTAAAGAATGGTTACTTTTCTTTAGATATTTGGCATTAAAAAAAGTCACAATGTTGGATTATTAAAATATAATTGCAAAAATGAAGAGATATTAATGCATGAATATTAACTGAGAATTATTTAATCAGATATGCACCCATGCGAAGTTCACTGATGCCACGCCAATAGTAGGCAATTTATATGAGTAATTTCATCTTGCTTGTATTTAATTTTCATGTTTAAATATTTTGTTCTAAACCTATTCAATTTTTAGCCCACTGAATAAAACTTATAGTTTTTATTAGGACTCATAAATAATGTGATTCCAAGCATGATGTACAAAATATATAAATTAAAGTTGCTCATATATTTTTCAGTCTAGCATAATCCTCTAAAATCAAATGAGTTGCCATTCTGAAAATACTTGTTATGCAGCTTTACAGAAATAAAAGTTGGTATGACTGAATGGACATCTGTAGTTACCGTCTATTAAATATTCAATTTAAACATATTTGTGAAAAATCCACATAGTGAATTAATCAGCCTTCCACAGTGAAGAAACAACTATTTGAAGGCAGAATCCTAGGACGTAAGTGACAGTAGATAAGGCCTGGAATGTTGGAAATCAGAATAAATACCTTCAGAGAAGCTTTTCCTAGTCTGTAACCTGTTGTAAGATCTACTTATCTACCTAAAAGTCATCTCTAAAATCTAGTCCAGGGATACTTTCTTATCTCTTTCACTCATCATATAAAATACACCTTTAAGAGAACTTACTCCAAAAGTTTCTAAGATAGAGACAATGCCCCAATTCCTCTGAAACCATTTTTAGGATATGCACCTTTGAACCGCTTCCAGTAATAGTCCCTAGTTCATCTCTCTAAATCATTTCCTTCTTATAATTTCCTACCAAATACCTGGTATATCTTTCCCAGATAGGAAAAATGTCTTCAGGATACTCATAAACCAATGATCTGTTTTGAGCATGTTTCTCTGTTAGGATAACAAAATGGTAAAAACATGGCTAAGACAAGGCATTGATAGTTCAGTGGAAAAAATGTATTAGATTACGAGGTTAGATTTCACGATACCCACTGCTGGTGAGGGTGCTGAGCCACGGGAACTCTTATTCATTGCTGGTGGGAATGCAAAAGGTCTAGTCACTTTGGAAAAGAGTTTGACCGTTTCTGATAAAGTTAAACATACACTTTCCATACGACCCAGTGATCCTGCTCCTGGGTATTTACCAAGAGAAACGAAGACTTATATTTACACAAAAACATATACAAAATTGTTTACAGCAGCTTTATTTGTAGAGATGCTCTCAAATGGAGACAACTCAAATGTCTATCACGTGGTGAATGGATTAAAAAACTTTGGTACATCCATACAATGGAATATTACTCAGTAATAAAAAGGAACACATGGGGTGACCGATTAGCTCAGTTGGTTAGAGCGTGGTGCTGATAACACCAAGGTTGCCAGCTTGATCCCCATATGAGCCACTGTGAGCTGCGCCCTCCCTAAAAGAGTCAACTATGCCATGGTAGCATGAAAGCAATGTGTAATCAATGACCATGGCTGCTCCCCAACAAAGAAAATCATAAGGAAGAGAAAATACATTAAAAAAGATAACAGTTAAGACATGACTAACATTTGCAACAACACGGATGAATCTTTTTTACGGTACATGTGAAAATCCAGGCTGAAAAGACTACTACTGATAATTTCATTCATGTGACATTCTGGAAAAGAATAATGCCGCTTCAGGAAAAGGAAAAGCTATAGGGTAGAAAGCAGATCAGTGGTTCCTAGGACTGCAGCTGGGGAATAGGGTCAGTACAAACGGGGCATGCGGAGATTTTCTGGGGTGATGGAACTATTTTACATATTGACTGTGGTGATGGTTACACAACCACATTAAGTCAAAAGTCATAGAACTGTATGCTAAAAGGGGTGAATTTTACTGTATGTATAGTATATCTCCGTAAATCTGACTTAAACAAACTGGGGTTCTCTTAGTTACTATAACTGGCTTTGGGCAAGCCACCTAAAACTCATTTCTCATTTTATAAAAGGAGGATTATATTAACTATAAAAGATTTTTAGTGAGGAACAAATGAAAAAAAAACTTTATAAACTTTAAAGTTCAAGAAAATATTGTGCACTAGGCACACAACGGGCAGAGAATGATGAATAAGATAGAAATGCAGTAAAAATGTTTAGTCTAGTGGGAGAAAGAGAAAATGTGGAAATTCAGTGACAGAGATATGAACAAGGCAATAGGGTCAACAAGAAGTGGCATTCCAGGAATAAGAATTAACCATAAAACATAAAGTATAAATTAATTCATAAGGAATAAAGTATCACAAGTTGAATATAAAGGGCCGGATCACAGTGAGTTACAAACGTGAGATGTCATTAATGAACATGGAAAACTGGGATCCAATAATCTTAACATGGACTTAAAAAAGCCTAAAGTGGTACAAATTAAGACAAAATGGAAAAAGTACCTCATGATGATTTAGAAGTTGTTCTAAATCTAATGCCATTTGATTCTTCGTCTGTCGTAAAGCTGACTTTTCTTTATTTAAATTGCTGCAAAATAAAAACAGCAAGTTTTAAAAAGTCATCACATTGTTTTAAATTTAATTAATAAATAGTAAATAGCAAAAGACTAAGGACAAATCTAACATTTTGAATTAAAGATAAATTAAATTTATAGTGCATATAGATATCACACCAGCTACCGTAATGTTTGATTTAATCAATGGCTTAAGTTATTTTGTACCCAGGATTTTCTTTTAATAATCATTTGACAATGCAATTGAGATGCATTCTTAGAATACTTTCCTGCTTAGTAGGGGCATGAAATTAGTGATTAAATATGACTATTTACTCCTGAAATGTAAAAAGATGAAGTGGGACTTACACAAAAGGTAAAAAGAAAGTATGTATGGTCATCAAGAAATAAAAACATAAAAACATATTTTTTATACATATATACTTATACATAAAACTCTATGGACATTGGAAGTCAAATTAAAACATTTATCCGTAAAAATGAAGTATTACATAGTTTATAATTTACCACATACTAAATTACCAGGTATATAATTGAGTTAGATAAACAAATCAGATATTTGGTCTGTAGTAAATTTGAGAAAACAATTTTTTACTCCAAATTCTTAGTCTAAGCTTCAGTTTCTAAGTCTGCATTGTGAATTTCCCTTTAACGCGACCTATTTTCTGATAGGAAAGAGTGAGGCTCTTAATTGTTAAGGACATTATATTTTAAAAGATAAATACTTGAGGCTTATATTGTCCGGAGTTTTATTCTTCAACATATAAAAATTAATTAGAACCATTAAATGACATGTTCTTTGAAAGCTACAGGTGAATCTACTCAGCCAGCATTACAATAAGAATTAAGAAAAGCAACAATGAATTTAAGCAACATTAATTCCTTAAATGTCAAAACAAAATCTGTAAAGGTAAATTTAATGGGAATTGTTCTGCTGAATAGGTAAAATGTTTTAAGTTTTAACTTTAAGAAAATGGAAATCCACCAATTTTTAAAATATCAGGCAGGAAACTATTTTAAATTCAAGGTTAGTAGTAGGTATTCTGGAAGAACTGGTAATTCTTAAGGACTTTAGAGGAAAAAGCTCACATCTCCATCTTCCTAGTAATTGGGAACTTCCCCAAGGAAGCATCCTAGTTTGTCCTCTGAGAAGAAAGACGACATACAATTCTGACTTGTTTCCAACTGTGCCACTGACTCAACTGTGTGGTTGAAAGCACATCCCCTCCTCCCCCACTGAACCTCAGTTTTCACATTTGTAAAAGTGGAAAATAATACTTGTGTATGTCAAAGGGATATGTGAATTATCTAATGAATAATTATGTCAAGCATTAAACACATAAAACTCTATATAAATGCTATACGGTATTACTAGTTTAGATGAAAAACAGGCATCAGAGGAAAACAGTAATTAAACGCCCATAAAGGTAAGCAGCTGGGCAGAAAAACAGATTGACTTTCGGAGTGAGGCGTCAAGAGATCCTACTGAGCCGCAGAACTGAAAAAAGCAAAATGACATAAAGGAAACTGAGTGCCATGTTCTCTGCCAGCCTCCCAAAGCCTGGCAAAGATTAGACGTTTCTATCACTCTAGGATTCTAATCTATCTTTAGCTAGAATCACTTTGAAGATAAAAATCTTTTCCAGAAGTAAAATAAACATCTAGTAAATAGAAATAGGAATTTTCAAGGAACAGGTATGTGTTAATGCTCATATACATGCACACACATACACACAGTACAAGTGTACATACACTCATACACAGTACCCATACTCTCACACACACAGGTCTGTTAAATAAAATGTAGTGTAATTAAAAGATTTTGACTGGATAATTCACTCAAAATGCTTTATATGTAGAGTTTAATTTTTTTCCAGATAAAGCAAATATTGCATATTTAAATAGCTAAAATAACCATATAACATGGAACAAAATGTTGGTGGGTAAACTGGTTTACAGAGCAACTTAGTTCTATCTGCAGGATGTCAGGTTTATCACAAACAGTAAGGACTCCACAGACAAAACCTGGTATACATTTTCACAGTCTTTACCTTCTAGCTCCTAAACCACAAGGGAGACCACCTTCAACATGTAGGTCTCTAAAACTGAATATGATGATTATTATACTCTGTGTTCTTCTAATGTACGTATGTAATTCCTCAATAGAAGTTCAGTCTCCATAAAACACATTTCATAACAGTGGAAACTAACCTTTAAAAATACAAAGCTTCTACGCATGACTCATAAAGCAACTACAAAACAAATCTCCTTATAAGCACATCTATCGTGAATGGTATATTACACCCATAATTGTTCAATTCGCTGTTAATTATTACTCAGGAATTCATGTTTATGGCTCTATTTCACCGGCTATATGAAAACATATTCCTGATATCTTGTTCCTCCACTTCCTGGATCAATATATCCTGGCTTAGCCTTACAAAAGAAGTTGACAATGTAGTCTTTTCTTCTTAAACTACTAGTTAAGAATAACTAAAAACTGACAACGGGGAAAGAAAATTTATGCTAATTATTGTTTCTATGCTTCCTTCAGGTCTGAACTACAGATCAAACTGCAGAGTGCAGGTGTCTCTTGAGGCTTGGTGGAGGAGAAATACCAGTACCTCCTCTAGAATGGATTATGACTTGAACGATAAGGAAACTTAAAGTAGTTAATAGTGATATCTCCAATGTTAGCTTTTAACATGTTTACAACGACTTCATTTTACTGTATACTTACTCTAACCTTTCCAGACATTAAATATATCTATAAATAGCTAAATTTGCAAGCTGTGGGTGTGGTATTGTTTTATTTTCTAAGAAAATGATAAAAATTTTCAGTTCTTCGAAGAGCTTTTGTCATGTAAGCTAGAGAAATATTTTTAAAAAGTCAACTAATGTAAATATTCTTTACATTAATTGATACCTAGCAAAGAGGAATATAAATTTCCAAGGAACATAATCACTTAGTAATATTTTTGGATGGGTCATCTAATGTTTAAATTTCGATATAATGAAGAAAAAAAGGAAGGGAAGTAATATTTACTGAGTTTCTTTCATGTGCCAGAAGCTTTATATGTGTTACTTCATTACTCTTTCACAACTATCCAATGATGTTCACATTAATATCTATATTTTGCAAACACATTTACCATGGGAAAGAAAACCAGGTTGATATATAGTGAAAGGAGGGTAATTCCACTACATCTGAAATGTCATCAGCTCAGAGTAGGGGTGATGGTAGCTAGAACTATGATCTCTCTTGCTGTATCAGACTTGTTGACTGGGCTGTTTTTTATGGCATCACCTCATTTCATTCATGTCATCAGGGTACATCTAGAGCATCTCAAAGGCCATAGTGAAACTACTGAAAACACCTTAATTTTTCACATTAGAAGGTAGTTACCTTAATCAAGAGCAAGCTTTCATATCCTGTGAAGTATTAGTTCAGAATGGCCTAAAATATTATACAATAAATTTATGAAACACAGATAGCTTTAAAGGATTCTGATGTCTAGCACAAAAATTTTTTGTAGATAATCCATAATTGGCATAGTTTTTATGATTACTGTTGCTGTTATTAAGCGAGTCGTGATTTTTGTCCAAATTCAACATATTTTGAGAAATGTTATTTCTTACTTTTAAGATAATTTCAACATAAAAATTTGTTAAATGTAAAATACTAATAATAGCTAACATTTATAGAGCACTTAGAACGTGTAGGCACAGTGGTATACATATTACAAAGATTGTATCATTTAACCTTCAGAATAACCACATAAATTGGGTGTTTTTAGTACAAATCTCATTCCACAGATGAGAAAACTAGCTGTAGTGTCCAACGCCATAGGTATTAGCCATAAGAGGCAATTAAAATTAAAATTAACTTAAATAAAATAAAAAATTTAGTTCCTCAGTAACACTAGACACATTTCAAATAACTCAACAGTCACATGTGGCTAGTGGCTATCATACTAGACAGCACGTATATGGAATATTGTTATCGTTGCACAAAGTTCTATTGAACAACGGAGGTTTCAAGAGTTCAACTGATTTGTTCCAATATAAAACTAAGTACTGAGCTGGACTTGAGCCCATGCAATTTACCTATAGAGCATGTACTTCCTTTCAAAATCTGTTGTTTTTTAAAAGACTTTATTATGAAATATTTTGAAAGGAGAGAAAAAAAATATAACCCCCATGTATCCATCACCTTGCTTTAACAATTATGAACTCAATTATGCCCTACTTTTAGACCATTGTTCTACACTTTTTTTTTTCTTCTCTTCCTTACTTATAGTATTTAATGAAAAAGTATCCTTTGTTCAGAATAGGACATAGGGAGGCAGTATAACATAATGGTTAAGAGTACAGACTTAGAAAGCAGACAGATCTGGATTCAAATCTTGGCCTTCCCACAGAGCTGTATGTTCTTAGATGAAAAGTTGCTTAATTTCTCTAGGGCTCCATTTGCTCACCTATATAATTTTCTCCTATCAGTAGCTATTGTTTTACTCTATTGTAACATTTTCAGCTACCTTAATTCTTAGTAAGATAAAAACTCAAATTTATTTGAAGATAACTGTGAAAGGGGTAATTTTTTCCACAGTCCTTTTATATATCCCCCTCCAAGATCACAAACATAAAATGACTATATAAAATTTCAAATATAACATAAATATATACTACAGGAAGAAAAAGTTTTATTTGGGGTTCTTTCCTCAATTTCCCTAAGAATAACCAGGTACCTAGTGAATGATAGAACAGAATTTACTCCCAATAGCTATTTATAGAATAATTGTTAAATTAATTCATTGAATTAACCTATTAATAATGGTTACATATGTTCTAAATAAATTTTTAATTTTAAATGTAATCTAGAAATAAATTGTTTATGTTGATGTATAAAGCATAAACATGATTTTAAATTATTTTATCAGGTCATCAAAAAATTAATATCAGCAGTAAAGTTCTGGAACAATTATTTTGGTTGGGGTAGAAATGAGAGAAGATAATTATCCCGATTCAACAAAAAGAACATTCAAACTTTGGAGTTAATAACGAATAGTTTTATGTTTTTGGTTATATATGGTAGGAAACCTGGATTTAATAACTATCTTCTCCTTCTTGTTTTCCAATTCCTTAACTTAACAATTTCATTTCCCACCTAAATGCTCTGCTTCTATATTTACGAAATGGTTAATAGTTTATTTAAGATTTATTCTAATAATCTTAAAATCTAATAACAAGTAAGCCAAGTAACTAACCATTCACAAATTAAAACTTCTTTCATATATGGCATCATTCTTTTATGCAATTTAAAAAGACTAAAATGATCATATAGATGAACATATAAAGAATTTGGATAATTATTAAATGGAGCAAGTCTTTTTTGGATGACGTGTCATATAAGAAAACAACTTCAAGGAAGTGAAAGAAATTTGTTTACAGTTAGGTAATTCATGGATTACTTAAAGGTTTAAGGGAAGAATAGGCTAAAAATTCCTTGGCAAAAACAACATGAATCTAAGTAAACATATACATTTTATGTTTGAAAAGTAATTTTGACTCCACAAATGGCCTCTCGTTGTAGTCCTTCTCTCCCTTTGGTTAGCCCACATCCCTCTAAATATTTCTAGGGGAACAAAGACAGGATAGCCCTCATGTGCTTTGTTCAAAGTGTAGCATTGTTATGTTCAGGCTAACACTTCTGACCATAAGGTGGAATGCGAACACCTATGTGACATGACTTAGTTTTTCTAATAGATACTTAGTACTGTTTACATTTAAGACCACCTTCATTATTTAAATTTTTTCTTCATAATTTACAACCCAAATTTATCCACAGCAATATTATGTTTACGTCTTTATTGTTCAAATAAAAGATTTGTAGATGGTTTACCTGACATCTTTCTCAAGTTGTGTAATACACTCCTTTAGGGAATCAATCGTAGAATCTTTCTGACGCACTGATTCAATAAGATATCTATAAGGTTGTTGAGTTTGATTTAACAGAGAATTGGCCCTGTCAAGCTAAAGAAAAACAGATCGCATTAAAATCTAGAAAATTTTACAAGAAACAAATTATTCAAAATGCTCTAGCAAAGATACAGTACACCAGCTCTCCCTTACATGAATTATTCTGAAAATTTTTCTTTTCGTGTGTAAATTGAAAGGTTTTAAAAATAGTCAATACAGCTACTCTTAAGAATAATGATAATAATTAGTACAATGTATATAAAAATAAAAAATTTAAATAAAATACTGTTACCAATTTTGGGGGAGGGTTACCTAAATTTTCTTAACATTTGTTGGTCTGAGAAGCTATGTGACATAAAATTTATCTTCTTTCAATGACTATCCATCAGCTAAAAACATACTTCTTTTATTTGAGTTTTTTTCTATTCAAAATAATATAATTACATAATTTAGTAATTTTTTTCATATCTTCATATTTCCTTCCACCTATATTTGCAAAATAGATAATTTATGTACCTAAATCATTATGTATAATTAAAATTAAAAAAATTTGTGGTTAAAATAAAAATAACAAAATTTATCATTTTAACTATTTTACAGTATACAATTCAGGTGTGTTAAGTACATTCACAATGTTGTGTAACCACTGCTGGTATCTATTTATAGAACATTTTCATCAGCCCTGAAAGAAACTCTGTACCCATTAAGCTAAAACATTTCCCCCATACCTCAGCTCCTGGAAACATCTATTCTATTAACACTTTCTGTTTCTATGAATTTGCCTATTCTAGGTACCCCCTTATAAGTGAAGTCATAATTTATATTTGTCATTTTATGTCTCCTTATTTCACTTAACGTAATGTTTTCAAGGTTCATCCATGTTGTACCACGTATCAGAACTTCATTCCTTTTTATGGCCCAATAATATTCCATTGTATGCTTATAGCACATTTTGTTTTTTCATTCATCTGTTGATGAGCATTTAGGTTGTTTCCACTCTTTGGCTATTGTGATTAATGCTATGAACACTGGTGTATAAATATCTGTTTGAGTCCCTATTTTCAATCCCTTTGAGTATCTACCTAGGAGTGAAGTGGAATTGCTGGGTCATATGGTAATTCTGTATTTAACTTTTTGAGGAATTGCCAATTGTTTTTCACAGCAGATGCATTATTTTAGATTCCTACCAGCAATGCACTTGGTTCAATTTCTCTACATCCTTGTCAAATGTGTTATTTCATGTGCTTATTGGCCATTTGTACATCCTTTTTGGAGAAATGTCTATTTAGTATTTTTGCCCATTTTAAAATTATTATTATTTTTTGTTGTTAAGTGTAGGGGTTCCTTATATATTCTGGATAATAAACCCTTATTAGATAAGACTTACAAATATTTCTCCCTTTCTGTGGTGTGTCTTTTCACTCTCTTGATAATGTCTTTTTTATTTAATTAATATATTCTTTTTTTTTTTCTTTAATTGGGGAATTGGGGAGGGGACCAGCCAAGTTGTTCTTCAATCTTAGTTGTGGAGGGCGCCAGTCACCATCTGGCTGCCCGTCGGTAGCTTGTGGCCTCTATTGATTTTTTTTTTAAGCTGAGCCATCCTGCCAGCGGCTGTTCAGCTCGGGCCGGGAATCGAACTGCTGTTGCTCAGAGCTCAAACTCTTGAGCGAGCTCTTAACCAACTGAGCCACTCGGCTGGCGCTTTTCTTTTTTTTTTTTTTGCTTGTGGCCACTAAACTCAAGATTCTGTGTTACAATGTTAGTTGTGGGTGGGCGTAGCCACCATCCCATGTGGGAGTTGAACCAGCAGCCTTGTTGTTAAGAGCGCACACTCTATCCACTGAGACATCCAGGCAGCAGCTCAACTCAAGGTGCTGAGTTCAGTCTTAGTTGTGGGGGGCATAGCCACCATCCCAAGTGGGAGTCGAACTGGAAGCCTTGTTGTTGAGAGCGCAAGCTCTATCCACTGAGCCATCCGGGTGGCAGCTCAGCTCAAGGAGCCGAGTTCAATCTTGGCTGCAGGTGGGCATAGCCACCATCCCATGTGGGAGTCGAACCAGTAGTCTTGTTAAGAGTGCACGCTCTATCCACTGAGCCGTCTGGGCTGCAGCTCAGCTCAAGATCCCAAGTTCAGTCTTAATTGCGGGCGGGTATACCCCACCATCGAACAGGCAGTCTTGTTAGGAGGACGTGCTCTCACCAACTGAGCCATCCTGACATCTGTTGGTGGCTCAGCGGCAGCTCAGCTCGGGCGCAGCGTCACTGGCCCATGTGGGAATCGAACCAGCGGCCCTGTCGCTCAGAGCTCGCACTCTTAAGCTAACTCTTAACCAACTGAGCCACTTGGTTGACCCTTGATAATGTCTTTTGATCACAAAAGTTTTTAATATTGATGAAGTTCAACTTACCTATTTTTCTTTTGTTGCCTGTACTTTTGGCATCACTTTTAAGAAACCACTGTCAAATCCAAGGTCACGAAGAGTCTCTCCTATATTTTCATCTATGAATTTTATACCTTTAGCTCTGAAATTTAGGTCTTTGGTCCATTTTGAGTTAATTTTTGTATATAGTGTCAAGTGCAGTTCCAATTTCATTCTTTTACATGTAGCTATGCAGTTTTACCAGTACCGCTTGTTGAAAAGGCTGTCTTTTCTCCATTGAATGGTCTTGGCAACCTTGTTAAGAAACCACTGACCACATGTGAGGGTTTATTTCTGGTCTCTGTATTCCATTTCATTAGTCTGTATGTTTATCCTATGCCAGCACAATACTGTTTTGATCACTGTAGCTTTGTAGCAAGTTTTAAAATATGAAAAGTGTGAGTTCTCCAACTTTGTTTTTTCTTTTCAAGATTGTTTTGGTCACTTAGGGTCCCTAGAAATTCCATATGATTTTTAGAATGGGGTTTTCTATTTCTGCAAAAAATGCCATTGGGATTTTACTAAAGATTGCATTGAATTTGAAAATCATTTTGGGTAGTATTGTCCTTAATAATATTAAATCTTCCATGAATATGGGATGTCTGTCCATTTATCAGATCTTTTTTTTTTAAATATTTTTTTATTGGTGAAACAGGAAATGGGAACAGACAAGTTACTGTCCTTTTGTTCTTCAGTCTAGTTGTGGAGGACGTTGCTTCACTGGCCTATGTTGGTATGATCATTGTGCTCTTCCTGGGTGAGGCAGATAGGTTGCCGGCCACTGGACAGACGGTCACGGCGGCTCTTGGCAGCTCACGCCGGCTGCCAGCCACTGAAGCTGGCTGCTGCCACTCACGGTAGCTCATGGCAGCCCACTGCAGCCTACACTGATGCCAGCGACTCACGGCAGCCCAGCTCCAGGTCGAGCTGTTGTTCACCATCTTAGCTGTAGAGGGCACAGCGTCACTGGCCCTCATGTGGAATCCGAACGGAGGCCCTGCTGCTTAGAGCTGGAATCCCAAGCCAACT